TACTATAAGACCTGATAACGTACTATCAGAAATTTGTGGATAATTTCAATGTTTCCACTTCTCGAGCAAATAATTGTAAAAAATACAAGGCTTATTTTAAACAAGAAGAATATTTCTAGAATAACCCATATAAATAATTATAAAGCCTTTTAACAACTTATGTTAGCGTAATTATATAATTTAGAAACTACTTGGTATTCAACTTAAAATTTTCTGCCATTTGTCGCAAGATCTCATTACCTAACATTTATTGACATTCTTTCAAATGAGAATGTTGATGGGAAATATATAGAACTATTCAAATCACATCCATTGTTGTGCCATGAAAAGAATTTTAGATTTTACGACTATTATAAAACAATTTAGCCTTTTAATGTATTTATAAGAAAACTTGAATCTAAAAAGTATTGATTTATCTTTTTATATATATTTACACTAGAAGTCTCATAATATTATTCTTAGAGTTGTTAAGGATGACTTTATATCAATTAAACCATATAGTAAATATACTGATACCCTTCAATAAATTGAGCTATAGTTTCCTGAATTATCTAAAATCCATTTGATGAGTACAAAGAGGAAACGTTTGAAAAAATGTGTAAAAAATTAAAACCAAAATATTTATGGTTGAATATTATTAATGAATAAGTTTACTTCTACTTTATTAATGCTTTAGTTCTTATGCACCTTATGTGCAACAGAACTATAACTAAGTTAATTCATTTAGCCAGCAAAATCTATTGCAACCCTCGTACTGTGCTTCCTACTCTCAATAGTGTTGCGATTCATGTGATGATATAAAAATTATGTTTCTTAATAATGATAATCCTGCCAGCCTCCTAGGTAACATCTGATGTGGAAATGTTAGCACAGATGTGAGTATAACGATATGATATGGATTACATAATCATCCCTCAATCCTAAATTTATTGCTCTTCTCCTCCAATGTGTTTACTTATTATCGAAACCCTCAATGCAAATTTAAGTAGAAAGGTCGAATATTTCTTATTACAGGAGATAATGGATTGTTTTTGAACTCTTGGGAGTCGCTATTTTGAATGTCATATCGAATCTGAATAAAGTTTATGAAATTTTTGAACTATTTCTCAACTTTTAACACTGCTATAACTTGATTATTTCAGCTTCTTTTAGTTTTTATTTTAAACATGCACCATCTTCTGATTCAACTTGCTCTGAATAAGTTTAACTTCTTCATACTGGGGTATTTTTCCAAAAGCAGAAAAGTATTCGATTTAGCTGATGAACCCTTATTATAATTGCAAGTTAGGTAATCTACTGTATGCGAATGTTAGGAGTAGTAATTCAGATGTGTTAATAGATCTGGCACTGTTGAGTTTACACTCTCATTCTCTTTCACAAATACTATCATCTTCGAAAATATTAAGGAATTTTTAAACCGAATTATTCACTTTTGAAGAATATCCTAAATTATTTAAATCTCTCTAGGTCAATAACAAAATGTAGACTGTTAAAGTGAAAAGAAACTCAATTGCTAATTAAACATGTTCTTAGTAGTCATATGAATGCATTCTTTTTTCAAAAGGTAGTTTAACCAACTATTCTATAGTTACTTGTTTTTTGTTTATTTCAGGTTATTATGTACACATCCTTTCCTTGGCTTGGAGAGCTTTTTTGCACATAAAGCTACAAGCCTTTTAGCCATAATTCTCATACTAAATCTTTTTCTATAAAGTGGCTGTTTTACTCGACGGTCTCTTAAATTAATTTTGTATAGAATACCTTATTACTTAGCGATAAATGTGGAGATATTAGTAATAAAAGTCAATACTAATAAGGTTTATTCTATAGTATCTCTGGGAGCCTAATTGATGATAATTGTATCTTAATTCTAATGTTGTTAATAATAATTCTTGATTAATAAAATGTGGCCCATGATTGTAATTTTTTTTTATAAATAATAATACGGTGTATTATTTAAACCTACATAAAAGCACAACTAAATATCATGATGGTTTTGAAATATTGACGCTTGTTACCAACTGTAATATTTCTTGTGAAGTCGTAATGAAGAACCTGTAATACTTTATAATCCTGTTTCAATGATACAAGATTGATTTGTTGATTATGATGTTACTTAAGTGTTACATATAAATAATAAGTTTAAATTTAACCCCTTAAATAATGTTTAAAATTAAAACTTTAAAAACACAAAAGGTAATTTAAAATAATTGTGGAAATTTCAGTGATAAAACATAGAAATAAGTAAATCTTAAGAGTTTTTAATTAAAGTAGGCATACTTTACAAAGTTTATTAAGTATAAAACTAATATTAATAAAAAAATCAATATGTGCGTTGACCCTGACTATAATAATCTCGCAAGTTAAATACATTACTAATAGGGATCGTTTTAACCAAACCCTTTTGCCTTCGTGTGGCATCTTATGGTCAGTCATATGTCCCGCCTTAACCAATTTCTCACTTTTTAGTACTTCAAATATTTACAACAATCTTAACTTTAGAAAATTTAAAAATAGAAATTGCAAGTTGAATAAGTTGACGATTTTATATTTATTTGAAGTTAAATAAAATAAATTATGGATTTTAGTGAGGATTAATAAAAAAATTATTAGGTTTAGATAAGATGTCTCTAAAATATCATTTTTGTCAATTTTAAAACATCTTAGCTCATTGAATTAAATGTTCATCATGGAGATGGAAGACATTTTCAAAAAAACAGGTTTTTATAAAAATGTCAAAAATTTTTAAAGGATTCTACCAAAAGAAGAAAAATTATTTAAATAAGAGAAAGAAATAGAAACAATTATAAAACGTAAAATAATGAAGAAATAATAAATGACAAAGTCACATTCAAAGAAAAAACTATTTGCATCGAATAATTACGATTCAGCTCTACATAATAATTTAATTGATTCAAAATATTATTCTTTTCATTCAGAAATATCGTTGAGCTATAAACAAGCTAATAAATTAATTTTTAGCAAAATTGTGTAATTAGAAGATACTTTAGAAAATAAAGATTTAGCAGA